TCGATGCAACTCAAATAAAAATAAAATAACATTGGATCCTTCATGGAGAAGACATGTGACAAGATAGACCATAAACAAAATGTCCAACTCCAACTGAAATTTACAATTTTTTGTTATACATACATGTCGAGCACAATTATATTATTTAATTAAAATCAAAGGTCCATATTGTCTTAAATAAGAATTAAATAATGTTTTGATGACATATTTAAAGTTGGCATGTCATCTATTGGTAATTTTCAAAAAATTTAAACAACAATAATAATATAATATTTTTGACACATACGCCATAAAAATTAATTGCACATGAGAATTAGTTTATTAAAATGAAATAGACCTCCAAAGTTAATGTTGGGACTTAAGGAATTAATCTTTTAAAAATGTTAGCATACTCTTACAATAAAATTACTGAAGACCTCCAATCTATTGCATTGTACACACTTCCAACGATATACTATGATGCAAGTTTAATTTTCTTTGTTACCATAAATTAATTACAGCTAATAGTATTAATCAATTAATTTTTATTATTATTTTATTTTATTTTTTGTAACTATTCTCTAATTTTTACTTACTTGGTATTATTATATACATATCAACATGTTATGTTTGTGCAGCTGGGTCTGAAACAAACTATGATATTCTGACTTTTGGATGGAAATTCCTGCCTTCTTGAGCTCTACAGCTGAATTTATATTAGCCACGTTATCTGGATTTCCAGTATCCATCTGAGATAATACCGTTGCAAAGGAAGAAAACTGGATGCCAAGAAGATGGTGAGCATTAGTAGGGAGATCTTTCACTCGGAAAATGCTATTTTGCAGTAAAGGCTTTACTAGAAAAATGATGATGTCTTCATAATTGATCTTGATCATGTTGAACAAACTATCAACGATGAAAAATGGAATTTGATTCTCCAATAACATTAGATCATGAAGCAATTGATTTTGGATCTGGAAAATGTCTGTAATGAAACTTGAGGAGAAATTCGATTATAAAACAACCATCAGGAATCAACATTTCCGCGAACTCATATCCATAAATTTTGATGTCTTCTTAGTCTCTCATTGTGATAATATATCTTTCTATACTCGATTATTTTCTTCTTTTAAGAAGCAGCTTTAGATACCTGAATTTGTGTTGCAAGTTAGGTTTACGGCGGTGAAATGGTCGAATGGCTATTATTTCTGGATCATAAGCCTCTGGATTAATGCTGCGTAAATTATCACCGACTCTAAACATTGTTTTCTTTGAAGGCAATTCATTAAGCATATAATCAATGTAAAGAGTGAGACTGTCAGCTCGTCTCAAGACATTTTGAACTGTACTTGTGGAAAATCAGAAACAAATACCTTGATTTACCAATGAATTAAGCTACCAATTCTATATAGAGGTGTTAAAAATGCACTAATAAAAGTGTATCAATATGCTGACATTTAATAGCCAACTACCTCAATTTTCAATTTTCAGCAGGCACCATGAATTAATCATATGACTCCTATTTGGCTTGGTCAATTGATGACAAGGTATGGTAAAAGAAGAAAAATTTAAATTAAATTTACACTAAGGCCTGTTTGATAGGGATAATTTTCCATGGAAGATTGAAAATATTTTCCACTTTTCCATTTTTTAAGCTGTTTGATAGCAATACATTTCCAGGCAACTTATTTTCACACTTTGCTGCATGTGAACACCAATTCCAGGAAAATAAGGAAAACCAATTTCCACTTCATAGCCGGTTATTTGTTTTCTTGGCAAACTGTAAAATTGGCAATTCCCCCACCGTTGGAGCCGCATCTTCTACTCCAAAATTCAGTGACTATGCCACTAAGCAAACCACCGGATTTTCACACCATCATCATCTCCTCATCCCACTCTTCAATTCCATACCAAAAACCGGACATAACAGTTCCAAAATCACCAAAAAATCAGCTGAAAAACGACGCCTTCAGGCACGGTTTCAACACCCATTCCGGCCAACCCTCCAACACCCATGGCCATACTCCATTACAGGCCCCTAATACTCATCAAGATAAGCAGATTCATGGTCCCATATCATCAAGAAACGATTTATAATGGATTGCATCTCTTACCAGTTCGAATGCAGCGAATCGCGCACAGTGCAGACCAAATTCCGGCGTTGACGTTGAGAATCTGGGTCTTGCACCACCACCATTACCTCATATTCATTATGGCGAACAACATATACATATCGGCCTTCGTCAATTTAGCTCGAATTCAAAACCGTTGAAGATGAAATCCAACTAGGCGGCGGATGTGTGAAGAAAATGGAAATGGGAGGATGAGGTTTTTATTTTGGTTGAATTGAAATTGAAGTTGAAATTGAATTGATTCAGTGATGCTGTGATGGTTAATAAAATGAAAATGGGAGAATGATGTTGAACACGAAATGGGTTTGCAGTGATGGTGAGGAAAACGAAAATGGGAAGATACAATTTTTGTGGATTGAATTGAAATTGAAATTGATTCCAGTGAGATGGTGAAGAAAATGAAAATGGGAGAATGATGTTTTTATTTTGCTTGAATTGAAATTGAATTGGAAATGGATTTGCAGTGATGGTGAAGAAAATGAAAATGGAAGGAAACAATTTATGTGGAAAACAAAACCAATCAAACACCAAAAGATGAAAAATCTCAATATTTTCTAGGTGGAAAATTATAACAATCAAACACACTTAATTGACAATTCTCTGGAAAACAATTTCTAGGAAAATTTTTTCCCTTTAAAACATTTTCTTTCCACCCATTTTCCACTCTTGCAATCAGATACAGCCTAAACATACCGGCACCATCCATGTCGTTGGGAAAAAATTCCCACCCAGCACACAACAGAAGTAAAAATTAGAAAATGAGCTGAAAGAGAAAAAAACATAATTAAACGTGGTTTGACAGATCGTCAATAGTCATATGAGAAAAATAGTTCATTAGATGAGAAAATCTCACAACATGTACGCATCGTCGCGAGGAGTTAGGAGACATTGTTTTCCGAATTGAAACCGTGGCTCGACAAGTTGGCACCCACGTGGCATCATGGACCATGACGGAGGGATACAATCTAGACTGCACAATCTGAAGCGACGTGATAGAAGGACTCACATTTATCCGAACCAATTGGTGAACCCATTCACTTGTGACGCGTGAAACTCAATATACAAGACCTCATATTTCATTAAATCCTACACATAATCAATTTTAATCAATTTAAGTTATAAAATTGATTTATAATTCTCACCTCTTCAAAAATTATATTCCTCTTATTTTGCTGAAATTAAAATTTCATCCAAATTAATTTTTAGAAATAAAAGCCTGTTCGAACAATTTTATTTCGAGTTTCTTCCATTTGAGAAAAATACTATCAACACTTTGGTTCCACAGACAAGGTTGGTATAGTATTGTATAGACTTTAGAAAAAGCGTTGTATCTTGAGTAACGGACACCTGATATCTCGGCATCATTGCAAGGGGCGAAATCTATCCTAAAAAGAATAGCCTTGACATACCTCGCTTCATTATTTATTTATTTATTTATTTACTTCAACTTTTTCTTTCTTTTGATTGTACAATTCATTAATTTGACAACAAAATGTTTAGTAAGATATAATAAATGCAGCATCGTATTGGAGTAATAATAAATTATGTCATATGCTAAATGCAACAGCATCGTACTGAACAAATAATAAAACGTGTCATATGCTAACATTTAATTCCAACTGCCTCAATGTTCATTTTTCTGTAGGCATCGAATTAACAATATGAGGGAAAGAAGAAACATTTATATTAATTTTACACTAAACATATTGGCACCATCGATATTGTTGGGAAAAAAATTCAACTCATCGCACAACGGAAATAAAATGAGAAAATGAGAGAAAAAGAAAAACATAATTAAACGTGGTTTGACTTGTCAATAGTAACATGAGAAAAATACTTTATTAGTTGAGAAAACTTCACAAATGTTTTCTACTCACACAACTTCTCCCTAAGAAAACAAAAACATACAAGTTCGTATCATTATTTTTCTATTTTCTTTCCAACAATTTTCTCTCAATAAATTCTTATAATTTTGGATGTACGTAATTTTTGGTACGAACTTACATAACATTGGTGCCAAACACAATTATTCTCAATATGATGCCATGAATCTAGAGGAAAGACCCTTCTAATGGCAAGTTTCTTTTCCCTATTGCACTAGGAGCTCTTTTCTTAATTGAAAATTATTTGATTTCTTTAAGTTCTCTTGGTACGTCTGGGTTTTTCTGTTTGAGTTTGTTTATTTCGATTTGATGATTTTGTTTCCCGCATGTGCAAAAGTGTATACATGTTGTTATTCTCAGAAAAAAAATGGATTATTTTCATGTTTTTGATTTTTTTTAAATTGGGATTAAGTTAGTACTATCGTAATTGTAAAGATGCTTTCTGAATTTGAGATAGACGGGTAATCGAGAAGTGAGCCATTGATGTGTGAGTTAATAATTTTGTTTGTTTTGTATGTTTATATGGATTACTCTATGAGTCTTAACGAAGTTTTGGGTGAATGGAATTTCTTGATGTTATTTTACTCCAATTATTTCAAAATTAGCTTAATTACGCCCATAAAATGATATTATTTTGGGGCTTTTTGATTGAGAAAATGAAAGTTTAAATGAAAAAATGGTTTGAAAAAGACGAGAAAAAACTATTCTTCTAGGGTTTTAGTGGTTGGTGTGAGGAAGAACCTATGTCCAGGATGAAAATGTGTTTTTGTTTTGGTATTTGATGGGTTTTGTGCAATGTCATTATAAGTAATGAACATTTTTTCAACATTGCGTATGTCACGTTTCTTAACATATTGGTCCATAACTGCCATATACGAACAAAACATTGGTTTGCCCCTTTTCTTCTCAACAGCCTTTACAGTATGGAGTCGATTTTTTCGACTTCTTCAGCATCAATGTATAGCTTCACAAGTGCATCCCAAGTCAGTGGTCCGATGACACAACCACTTTTAGCTATTTCCTTTAAGAGGACCTTTCCTTTGGCCAACATTTTATGTTGTGCATTAACTTATAGTAGAATCAGGGATCTTTTCTTCAAATTGTATCCTCTATTGCTTTAACTACCAATGTTGAAGTCATTAGCTTGTGAGCTATTAGCTTTCTCAGTAGTGCCCTCGAGGTTTTGAGGACTAGATTCCTCCCTGTGTTCTTCTTTTCAGCTGAAGTAGATACTACTACGTTTGTCGTTTGATTCCTGCAAAAAAAAAAAAAATAGCAGTTTTATGTTTGAAAACATTATCGTTTACAAAGAAGGAAAAAATAGAATTGCTCTCAAAACCTTTTTATTTGTTTCTTCTAATGAATATGTCTTGGTCTCAATGGAAGTGTTGCCTGAATCTTTGCAATATATTGAGTTTCTAGATCCTGTTGAAGTTCCGGTATATGCATTTTCATATTTGGATTGGTCACTCATGTTAATATTTTTGGTTACTTTTTTTAGTTTTTTTCACTTCCAATTTATAGGGTATTATAAGATTGAGGACATACGCCACAACATGGTTGTAAAGGGTGTTCACTTTTTTTTTTTTTTTGAATCTATAACCTTTTTAATTTGTATCACTTTTTTAAATTTTCGTCACTTTATTAAACTTTTGTCATTTTTGAAGTATTTGTCACTTTTTTGAATTTTTGTCACTTTTTTTAATGTTTGTCACTTTTTTATCGATCACATACTTGATTACTGGTGTTGTACAAATGGATGGTGCTGTTTTGGTATATCACTTTTTTTGAGTTTGTGTCATTTTTTAAAAAAAAGTGACAGTTTTTTAAAAAAAAGTGAGATTGTGTCACTTTTTTATTTTACACAGTATTTTTACTTTCTAAAAACTTTTCATATGATTTTTCAAAACATCCCTAATTTTAAGGGTATTTTTGCAAGTACCCCAAAAATCTATGTCATTTTAAGTTTAATGAATTTAATCCTATGTATTAACTAAAAAAATTGGGTTCTAACATTATGGTTATCTTCGTGGTTCTCAAAGACAATCTAAGTTCGAGTCGCCATGTGTATATTTTTAAAAAAAAAATCAGAAGAATTTTTTGGGCTTAAAACTATTCAAAATTTCACTTTAAGCCATAATTTAACAAAGTTTATGATTACCATAACTCTCCCATTTAGGTTTTCATTAAAAATGAAGGTTACAAGAAGAGGAAGTTACATTTTTTTACCACCATCTCTCCTCATATT